GTCGTCATATTAGTATTTGCTGAGTTTGTTCATTACCCTTTGACTTTTCCAAGCTATAACAGAAAGTCCAAGTTTCTTGCTCTTAAAATGTGACATCTATATTAAAGAGGCAAGCCAAACTAATCAATCTCCCTGCATGGTAAAAAAATGTTGTTAGGTAACTTAAAAATTGTGCTTCAGGATTTTCTAATAGTTGTATCTCAGCCAAATATTGTCCTATCCTAACAAACCATACATCAATGGAAAGCTTATTTATTCAGCTTTCAGGTGGTATATAAATCTCAATTTCAAAAAATTGACCCTTATGACTGGTTTTGTGGTCCAGGGTTACATATAGTCTAAAAGATTAAACATACTATGAATAATTGTAATCATTTTAAATGCTACAAGTTAATTTAGGAATCACAATATTATAATGTACAGTATGAAAAAATATATTTATTTTTTGAGATCTGCTAAAGATTACATTTAATAGTGTTATTAAATTATTAGTGGTTTTAAAGATTAAACATAAGTGAATTCTATATCATGGTAATGGTTATGTGGTATGTGGTCAACAACTGCCTGAGATATATACTGGTAAGATACTGATATATTGTGCATTCCTTGCGAATATATCATAGTTATACCAATACAAGTGTAACATATTATAGTAAAAATGCAAAAATTAAAAACGTTTTGAAATAAAAACATTTAAGCACATTTATCAGCCTCTTGCTCAAACTACAGTAAAAAAGTTGCATACATTCAGAGTTTGTGTGATGACCGAGGCAGCAACAAACAGGATTAAAATGGAACGCTCTCACTTGGACGTGTGACTGTTTTTGTTATTACAGTCAGCGAGTAAGATGTTGACATAGCTCTAGCTCTGGGTCTGTTACCAGTTCTGAATGTTCAGCATGGTTAATGTTCGGAGCAGGATTATCAGATCACCTGCTGATGACATGTTCAACATGGATTTATAACAGGCCACCAATTGGACACAGCTAAAGCAGGCTCTTATTTATAAGACGATCTAAAACCGAGAAGACTGGAATTCTATTAAATATTTCCACTGACAGCACACGTCCAAAATGAACCTGCCACAGCTGTCAGAAGGCCTGGGTTAGCTCATACCACAGAAGGCTAACAACATTAATGTTAGGTAAAAATCACAACCTCTGTGCCATATGGAGAACTGGCTCCATGCATGTGTTTTAGCTTGAGACTGCATGCTGGGGAACTTAATGGCTCTCAGGACCCCAAAACATGTAAGCAAAGCAGTGTAATCAAACAGAAGGGGATACCGCAGGGGTGGAGCAGGCCTGTAAAGTCAAGGAATGTCTTGTGTTGACACTGGAGTTACTGTGTGTGTGTGTATTTCAAAGAAGGGGCTCCAAGCATTTTTATAAAGGTATAAATGGGCTTGAATTCAAGTGTGTTACTTGAGAAGACTTTAGGACAGCCCATTTAAATATATCAACAGACTATCCGCAGTGGCTCATGGGTTAGGGCTGTGTTGGCTGCACATAGCCTCTGTCTCTAACTTCCACAAGTTTTAATTTTTTTCTTTTCACAAAAGTGTCCAGCAAAACAAAGAGGTGCGTATCTTTAAACCCCTGCCCAATGACAACGTTTGTTTAACCACAAAGACTATTTTGCCTTCCTGTCTGGGGGGGGACTTTGTCTTCCTTTCAGTGATTTCACAATTGCCTCATTTCCTATTTTCTCCAAGAGATGTTTTGCTTAATTGTGAGTGTTTTCGGGTGAATTAGGTCATCACTGGCTGCCTCGATACTCATTCATCTCTTTTGAACTGCATTTTAAAAATTCAAAAAGATCATTCTGAATTTACACAGGTTTCTGACAATTATTTCTAAAAGATTAAACATCCAAACTGTCTCTTCTTAACTCAGAACAAACTAAACAAAGTTTAGAGAGTGCTAATACCCTCTGAGCCAAAAGACAATACATTAGTAGACTAATTTTACTAAAGTGGACTGGAGTAGCAAAGACAACCCTCCCTTTCCACAAGCTTATGTAGTGAAACCTAACACCACTGCTGGGTTTCCTCCACCCCGTTCAGCCCTGCCCAGCCCCCTCTATGGCCCTGTAAAAGCCTTGTTATGGGAAAAAAGCCATTCTTTTTTATGTTTGCAAAACATGACAGAGAGAGACAGAGGGGGGGAACAAACATATTCCCTGAAACCAAAGTGGAGGTCAGACTGAGCAATCAAAAGATGGTATTTGCTGAGGGGGAAAAAAAGTACACTCTGTATTTTAGTGAACACATTTGATATGTGCTTCAAACAGGTTGAGATATAGAGCCTGCTGATCCAGCATATTAACTCTAAATTGGAATCTGTTTGATAATACATACACTATTATTCAAAAGTTTGGGGTCAGTAATATTTTTTATTTAATGAATGCTTTTATTCAGCAAGGATGCATTAAATTGATCAAAAGTGACAGCAAAGACTTTTATAAAAGATTTGCTATTTTTTAAAGAAATACAATAAATCTTATCTTACAAAATGTTTCTTCGGCACCAAAACAGCATATAAGAATGATTTCTGAAGGATCATGTGACACTGAAGACTGGAGTAATGAAAATTTAGCTTTGTCTTCACAGGAATAAATGACATTTCAAAACATACTAAAATAGAACACTGTTATTTTAAATTGTAATAATATTTCACAATATTACGGTTTATATCTTATTTTAGAAATGGAACCTTGGTGAGCATGAGACTCAAAAATATTTTAAAATCTTACTAATCCCAAACCTCAATTATAAACTCAAATATTACTTATGTTTTTAAACATAACATTATTAGAAAAATACTGCTTTAATAAGTTTGCTATATAAAGTATATAAAAAACATATAGTGCAATGTAATGCAAAAAAAAAAAATCCCTCTGGTATTTCAATGCATACATCTAACAAACACTACATAAGCAAAAGTGAAAGTGCCAGTAAATATTTAAGTGTGCAACAATGTTGGTCCAGAATGTGATTCTCTTTGTGGACACACACACACGTAAACATGTTTGTCTGGCTAGACTGTAGTGAAGTATGCAGTTTGTTCCTATTTCGTAATGGCTTGGCTTTGAGCCGACCCATATGCAGCCTGAGAGGGATATCCCAGCATTATTGGGAGGGAGCCAGGTTGGAATGCCACCAGGTCTAGTTTCCTGCATTCCTGCCAAAACTCTACTCAACTACTTGCCTTTTTTTCCTCTCCCCTCACTGTTTCTTTGACAATAAACAGCCATATGGCAACCGGTTTAACTTTGTCTCTTCCGATCCTTTGCTGTCTGGCTCTCTCTTCTATCTATTCTGTTTTCCTTTGATGAATGACTCATTTGTAATATCAGTGCAAATTAACACATCCAGCTTAGGCTTGACTAAAAGAGAAATTAATTTATAATATTGTAAGACCTTAAATTTGGTTTTCATAATTGAGAGTTATTTAGATTTTTGGGTTTAGTTTTAATTAAGCAATACTGTACAAAAAACATAAATGAAAGGTAATGAAAACACTTTTTGACTTATAAAATTATTTCCAAGCTAAGCAGTAGTCTGTATTTAGTGTTTTAATTACTTTTGCAAATACAGACACAAGGAATTTGGTGCCAAGTAATGTTAATGCCAGTCTATTTTTACATTCCTCTAAAAAGCCTTTCTTATTTTAAGAAGCCATTTATAGCATTTAGACAGTTTTTTTTTAAATGTTGAAAACAGGCAGTACAGTGGCTCCAGTCAGTCTGCCTAATGCTATCGGCATCCTTACATTGTTTCTGCATTTCACTTGATTTGTCCAAATAGCTCAAAAGCGATTACAAAATGCATGTTCTCGACTTCTGCAAAACAAAATTAATCGTGTTGTGTAACACTGTCCTCAGTTTTTTTAAGCAAATGTTGTGGTTGGTATTATTCTTATATGATCAAAAAAAGTACATACTGATTTGTATTTCTTGTTAAAAGTCCTTTATAAATCTAAGAGTAACACACAACTTCTGGAAATGAAAACCAAACATATAACATCACATTATTAAAATAATGCTGAATTTATTTGAGATTGTTTTTCTCCATTTCATAACGTTGTCAAAACAGCTGTCCTTATTCAAACTGCATTGCAGCCCTTACGTTAAGCCAGTGCTTACACTAATGCAGCCGCTAATGTGCATCCCTCATTTGGACAAGCCTCTGAATGATCCATCATAAATAAGGAATGACAAGTCCATCCAGGCTCATTCTGCATGTGTTTGCTTAAGAGCCTCACTCTCAGTGTATCACTCTAAATTATCCTTTGAGAATATAGTGGAGCAAAACTGCTGCAGCATAACTACGAAACATTCCAGTGTATTTCCAGTGTACAGGTGTACAAGCAACCTTGAATAACTAAAATGTACCCATACTGAAAGTTTTAAATAAAACAATCAAAACCAACTAACCAGACTAATATTTTGCACTTGTGCACATTATCAGCAAAGGCTTTAATAAAAACATATTTGCTCTTTATGCTCTCTGCAAAAAACACGTTTTAGACCTAAATTATGAAATGGTGACTATTTAAATATTTTAAGCAATTATTTAAGCAATTAATAATTTTTTTGCATCATAATTAAATTCAAAGTAGTTCAAAAAGTGCAATTACTACAGGTTGCAATTTTGATTTTACATAAAGATGTAATGCAGCAAACTTCGAAATTTTTAGTGCAGAGTCTGCAGTCTGTATGTCTATGTGCTAATGAAGAAACTAGACACTGAAGCAGCGATTAAACCTGATATAGTCTAACTTAATATATAATGTCAATGCATGATGCAAGTGTCTGGACAGTATAGTTTTCATAAAGATTAAGCATTAAAGTTTTAGCACTGCCTAAAAGCCTGTTGTTTCCATTTAATAATTCAGTTTTTTTTATTATGATGGCAATTAGCGGTTTCGTTCTGAATGATACTGGGGCTTATGCAAGTAGTTTCACACAGGACTGAACACAATCTCACTTCATGCTTTCAAACTTTACACATTAGTAATCACCAAAGAGTTCACCAGAGTGCACATTCAAGGGTTATGGGAGAGCATTTCATGAACATACCTGTTTGAACTGCTCCTCATAAGTCCATTCGTGGAGCTGCGATTGGGCTTGCGGTGCCAAACCACTCGGTGATTCAGCCTGTCTAGGAGCTGGATAGGTTGGCTGGACTCTGGACAGATGTATCGGGGTACTTTTTGGAGACTGCCCGGCATCGGGATAAACAGCATGGCGCGGTGGGTAATGAGCTAGGAGTCCTTCCAAATCTTCATCCCCTCCAGCCTCATTCATACTGTCATCTTCCTCCAAGTCGCGGTCTTCATCATCCATGCCGCGGTCCAGGTCTGGGTCGTCATCATCATCATCATCATCGATGTCGGAGTCGGCTGTGCGCTCGCGTGGCTGGCCGGAGCTCGAGTTCGGGGCTCCCTCCATCCAGGCTCATTCTGTATAGATCTGTGTTTGCTTAAGAGCCTCACTCTCAGTGTATCACTCTAAATTATCCCCTGAGAATACAGTGGAGCAAAACTGCTGCAGCATAACTATGAAACATTTTTACGTATAACCCTGAATTTCCAGTGTACAGGTGTACAATCCACCTTGAATAATTAAAACGTACCCATACCAAAATAATTTTACATAGAACAGTCAAAACCAATTAACCAGACTAAATTTTTGCATTCGTACACATCAACAGCAAAGGCTTCAATAAAAACATATTTGTTCTTTATGCACAATGCAAAAGCATGTCTTAGACCGAAATTATGAAATGGTGACAATTTAAACATTTTAAGCAATTATTTAAGCAATTAATCAAAAAAATTTTTTTTTTACATCATAGTTAAATTCAAAGTAGTTGAAAAAGTGTGATTACTGCAGGTTGCCGATTTGATTTTATATAAAATGTAAAGCAGCAATTAAACAACCTTACAAATGGGATTTTTATTAGTGCAGACTGTATGTCTATGTGCTAATGATGAAACAAGATGCTGAAGCAGCGATTAAACCTGATATAGTCCAACTTAATATATAATGTCAATGCATGATGCAGGTGTCTGGACAGTATAGTTTACATTAAGATTAAGCATTAAAGTTTTAGCACTGCCTAAAAGCCTGTTGTTTCCATTGACTAATTCAGTTTTTTGATTATGATGAGAACTAGCTATGCAGTAGTTTCACACAGGATTGAACTCAGTCTCACTTCATGCTTTTAAACTTTACACATTAGTAATCACCATAGAGTTCACCAGAGTGCACATTTAACGGTTATGAGAGTGCATTACTACAATCTATCTACAGATCTCACTCATGAACATACCTGTTTGAACTGCTCCTCATAAGTCCATTCGTGGTGCTGCGATTGTGCTTGTGGTGCCAAACCACTCGGTGATTCAGCCTGCCTTGGAGCTGGATAGGTTGGCTGGACTCTGGACAGATGTATCGGGGTACTTTTTGGAGACTGCCTGGCACCGGGATAAACAGCAAGGCGCGGTGGGTAATGAGCTAGGGGTCCTTCCAAATCTTCATCCCCTCCAGCCTCGTTCATACTGTCATCTTCCTCCAAGTCGCGATCTTCATCGTCCATGCCGCGGTCCAGGTCTGGGTCGTCATCCTCATTGTCGATGTCGGAGTCGGCTGTGCGCTCATGTGGGTGGCCGGGGCTCGAGTTCGGGGCTCCCGATGCGAACGCTCCCCTCACCGCTGCTTGATAGTGGCGGAAAGCGATAGCTTGCTGGTGAATCTGCGACTCCACCATAGATCTGATTTCTTTCTCCTTTTCGGCTTGGCGGAGTTTCTCCTCCAGGGCGAGTCGAGCCGCCTGCTGTCGCTGCAAGTTCTCCATGACCGCCTCCAGCTTCAACCCGCTGCCGCCGCTCGAGTGACTGTGAGGGCCGGAGGAGCTGACCAGCAGAGGAAGAGTGTTCGCCGACGAGAAAGCGGCTTGCTGGGGGCAACAGAATGCAAATGACACTACAAATTTTATCTGGAAGCATAATTACGGGTGACTTCGAAGAGTCAGGCCCCCTTAATTAAGACTTAAACCCCCTCTCCTTAAAAAAACAAAATAGTTTGGGAAGGGGAAGTGGGGGGTGTAAAGTGTATATTATTTTTCATACAAACAGTTGGCTTTTTTAGTAAGTATAAAAGTTACATTTACAGTTAGTCAGAGCACGTATTTTCAGCTATCATCAAAAAGGCGGTAACGAACAGAAAAGTTCGTCAGAGGAGGTAACCAACAACTAGGCCTACGCTGTTCATGCGCTACCCATTACGATTCAGGCGGTAGCCTACAATAAAGCATAAACATATTATGTATTACATTATTGTACTTTCACATATCAGAACTATAATAACAAAATCTGTAGCTTTTAAACGTTTTTTTTTTTAATTGATGTTTAGTTAATGGTAAAATAGTGGCGCCAAATAACAATTCGCGGTGCGCAAGAAGTGCCCCGCCAGATTGTTCACGAAAATTACATTTACATTTTCTAGTTTAGCAGAATGGATACGTCAAAAGTAGGCTACATGTCAAAAATCCTTAAAAAGTATATGTCGAACCTTAAAGTGTATAATTCGCATAGTGGTTGTGAATAATTAGCCTACTTGACTAAAGATCACTAAAACAAAAGAAAAAAACAAACAAACAATTTATACCTTGAAAAAGACAAAACGTGTAACTGATGCACAGTGCCAAAATCCTCTCATCATTGCCATAACAACTTTGTTTCCATCCATTTAACTTGTTACAGCTAATTTGTTATTTTTACTCGATTTTACTCTTTAGTGAGCTAATTAAAGTAGTCGGAAAAACTCATCACCACAGGGAACTTCGGCACAACTTTGTTTTGTTTTTTTTTGCGTTCATTTTTCTTATATTAAAATGTTCAGATAGCCTAGTATTACCGAGTTCATAAGATAAAATTACTTATGGAAATTACCTATGGAAATGATTCCACTAACAGGATCAACTACCTGACGGTCAGCATTGTAGTTGCACGCAATGTCACATTTCTGATGTGATGTAAAAAAAACAAAAACAAAAAAAAACCCACCTCGAATTTTTCAGAGACAGAAACATGACAATGTATGTAACGTTAGCCTAAGCTATATTGTATACACTGTGTTGCTAGCTATAAGTCGAAGGGCAGCGTGTGCAGCGTAACACAACGTGCGCTAGTGTATAAACATCACTAAATATTGAATTAAATTATCTCAAATGAAGTGACAAGCTAAGCATAACGATATCTATATTCTACCTGAGGAGCAAAAGCGCGTGCTTACCAGTGCAGATTTAGTTGCTATGCTTGGGTTGTCAACCATGCTTCTCCCGTCAAATGCGACGAATTTGCTTAACAGTGACCTTTTTCCCCAAACAAAGTCAGAAGTGCTTGTATTCCCGTCTCAGCATCTAGATGTGTGTCGTGAAAGCAAAGAAATAGCTCTTTATGGAAACGGTTTCGCGACGCGCTCGCGGTCTCTGAGCGATTTGGCAACAAGTGGCTGTAACTGTAGCGAGAATGACCTCTGAGGACTAAAGATCAGATCAGTCCCTCTGCCTCCATCTGCTCTCTACACGTCAATAGACATGGATATAAGGCAATCAGGGCAGGGTCTGCACTAAGCCAACAGAAATACAGCTGAGCAGCGAATACGATCAGCTTCCTGCGCGCGCTTCTCTTCAAATACACCACTTTAAACTTTATTTCAAACTCATCGAACGCTTAACAATCTACACATTTTAACTTAAAACGAATGCTCCGTCTTTAAGAGTTCAAGGTGTAGAAAAGGTGGAAAGCTCTATCCAGCAGTTTTAGAGGGCTTTGCGTGCGTGAAACGCAAATGATAAAGTAAGCTAGTAATTATAGCCTCATCTTACTCACGCGTTGTTCCTCAAAACAAATGTCCGCATACATTTATATACCCACTAGCTATTTATGTGTTTCTGAACAAGAGTAGCGAAAGACAGTTGGTTTTAAGGTTTTACGTATGTTGAAAGCATGTTTATATGATATATACACTAAAAATATATTTGACATATATTACAGCATTTTCAGTTTGATTTAGCTTACTGGTTAAAACATTCATGTGCATGCTGTTTATGGTCAATTTATTATTTTTTTTTTGCATTGAAGAATTCTCTGAAACAGAATCTCTCTCTATTAACAATGCATTAAACATGAGGTCACTGAAAATACTAAAACTCCAGATTTGATTTTAAGATGTGCAATTTAGGCACTGATTTTCTTAAATTATCATTTTTTTATGTATAATATGCAGCTAATGTTAACTCATGCAGAATAAAAGTCCATCCACTGCATTACACCAGCATGTAGACGGACTTAAATAGTACAGATAAATATCACTGAGTGTTGGTCTTCTGTAAATACACCCTTCTGACTGCAGAACATATAATTGCCATTCACCATGCCATTATCCAAGATTTGTAATTATATGAACCGATAAACAGACTTATGATTGAATTCCATTTAATTTCAGAAAAGTATATTAGTCATTACAGTTCTTAGGGTTTTAGACAATTTTGCAGTAATGAAGCCAAAGGTGCCTTTGCAGCATCCTCAGAATCAAGGCTGACAGACAGACAGACAGACAGACAGACAGATAGATAGATAGATAGATAGATAGATAGATAGATAGTTTAACTGTCATATATTTGATGTCTGAATTAGTTCATATAGCACTGAACAGCTGGCAATTTCTCCCATGACCCCCTGCTCTCTGATTGTGATGAAATAACCTATTATCTTTTGACCCCAATAACTCTTTAAAAGAATTCTGTGTTGCTTTATGCCCTCAAACCATTGAGCAAAATTGATAATCATTCCACAGTTACAATCCATTCAAGTTAAAGCAAGGCTAAGGTCTTGCACTGACACTGATAAGGCTAGAATGATGGTTAATATGTTTGACACAGTGAACTGTGCTCAGAGGTATTTCTTAATGACAGGTTTGAATTCATACACTTTACACAATACTTCGATTATAATATTTACATATCTTAGAACAACAGTGAGACTTTTTAGTTACAGCTAAGATATGTTGGGACACATGTCAGAGATCTAATGTAATGATTAAAATAATTTTTTTTTTGTCAGATTGAGGTAACTGTTGCCAAGGTTATGTAAACAAAACCTCTCTTCCAACAATGTGAGGTAACAAACATCTCAGTGGATTAAAATTCATAAAATGAACGTAAATGGTGTAAGTAATGTGTTGTTTAACATCGCCACCTGCTGTTCATAATCGGTAAATACATGTAAAGTATACATACATTTAAAGCCTTTAGTGAGAGCTCCATGTGTTTCTTATATTTTAGTAAGAAATGAATGCCAGAAATTTTAAAAGAGGATATATATAGCGTTCCACATTATTAATCCTAATACATATTCTTTATCACAACATGGCTAATTATCCAGTTTCAGCTATAAAATTACTCTATAAAATAAAAATGACTCAGCATATAACTTACTGAAAATCTGTCATTGTTTTTCATATAGCACTCACATTTTTAGAAACACTTAGCTAATGAAAACATAAAAGCATCTGGGATTGGCATCAGCTCTAAGATGACAGCTAAGTAAATTCAATAACACTAATACAATTGGGTGCATAAAGCACAATGGTGTGATTGAGAGAAAAATAGCATCACCACAATACAAAATGAAATCAGTGTAGCCGACTCACTTATATTACATTAATCATGACAAAATCATATATTCAGAATCTAAGTCATGAATATGCCATGGGCACAACAAATCAGTAATAGTTTTCAGGTCAAATTTGGTCAAAAACTGTAATGCAAGTTCAGAAATTTGTTCAAAAGAGGTGAATGCGGGTAGGTCACATTTTTATCTAAAAACAAATTCTACTCTACCTGACCTTGGTTTGGCTTTATTAATAATCCAATTTGTTAAAATCAAGTTTAATGTTAAGTGCATTTCAAGAGAATTTCTTTTTTTTTCTTCTTTAAAAAAAAAAAAGAATAATAATCAAATTAGTGCAAAGAACCAAAGAAAATTAGAACAAGAATAGAAACCTTCCATGCATTGGAACAAGCGGGAGAGGTCATGAGTACAGGGCAGGGGGAAATAAGCATTTATGAAGCTGCCTAGCATCCTAATAAGAATGAGGAAGGGATTTGATGGGTTAGGTTGGTTCTAACGGGAAATAATCAGCAGTGAGGTTACAGACAGTATTGAGGGACATAGACGTACAAACATACAGCGAGCTCTATCACAGACATCTATTTCAGATGTTTGAACTTCAGGTTTTTCTCAGCAGTAAATGTTTAGGTTTTCAAACTCAAACTTTTAAGAATTTTGCAAAGTCTCAACAGATGTTTCAACTTATATGAAAACCAATTTTTGCACTTGGAAAAACCTGCCAAGTATATTGAAAATAAATCTGGGTGCTACACTACCAAACATATCTCACACTGTAAAAAATGACCGTGAATTTAACGGTAAAAGCTAACGTATTTTTTACTGTAAAATTCCGGCAACCACAGCTGCCGGTTTTTTACCGTAAATTTTACGGAATTTTTTTTACAGTGCATGTTAATATTATGTACTGAATGCAATCCACATCGTAGCTTATTTAAAGTATTTTGGTTTGTTGCTGCATCACCTGTGGCCCGAGACACTGGGATAGGCTGCATTCCCTTTGAGCAGGTGAGCTCTGAGCTTTCTCGTCTAACTAGGCAATTGCAGCAGGCACATGATTAAGGTTATGAGATTTATTCTTTAAAGGTTACTGAGTAATGAACCACAGTAGTGTTATAGCATTAATGATCAATTACAAACACATGCATGCATGCATGCATAAAAGACTGAAGACCTTTAGATTCTGGTGAACAAAGTGAGTGAATTCCAATAGATTTACAGGAATATAAATAATGTTGATATTATTGGTAATGATATGTTATTGTTATAGATATGTTAGATATTGTTATAGACAGATATTATTGTTATAGATAACATACAATAGTGCCTGTCTGAACATACTTTTAGCAACCCAATGGAGCCGATCCAAAAACAGAATATTTGTATTAAACCACTATACAAAGAAAGGACAGTTCCTGAAATATCACGGTTGCTAAATCTACCCCATTTTGGTTTAGAGACTAAAATTATATATAGCAATAGCTGTATAATGATATACAGCTCCTCTTTGTGAATTTCTGAGAAAATAATTTTTACAGATCACCAGAATACAAGTGATTGACATAAATAGGAGAGGAAGTAAGTATGTTGACCAAGACCTGCATATTTAAGTTAACAGTTGAAAATGGAACAGCAGGTAATTAAATCAATACTGATCAGGGTTATTGATCACTGAAAACTTAGGTCAGTGTATAAGAATGATCGTGTATCTTAGTTTTTCCAATACGTTTCCATTATTCTTGCATGCAAAGCAAGTACAAAAATCCATCTTTTTAATTCAGACTACATAACTGATGAACACATTAACTCATTCTTTTGTTTATGTTGTAAGTTTTTGAAATGTTGTTCAAATCAGTTTCAGCTGATGTGGTCCTCTATAATGCTACGTGAAATAACCTGTTCCACAATAACACAAGTCAAGTCACCTTTATTTATATAGCGCTTTATACATTACAGATTGCGTCAAAGCAGCTTTACAGTGTTAAACAGGAAAATAGTTTGTCAATAATGCAAGAAGACAATAATCATATGTATCTATCATATGTATCTACTTTAATGCACTGCTATGTGTGTGTGTGTGCGTGTGTGTAAGGGTAGGTCTACAAATGTCTGGAACACACTCGTAATTAGACAGTATTGATGTCATTGTGTTGAAAAGTCTGTGGGTTAAAAGGAAGGCTAGCTACTGTAATTACATCTCTTGCTCTCTATCTGAGTGCATTTTGGCTAATTATTCTCCCCCTCATGACCACTGTAGCATCTAAAAACCATTCTCTAGGTATTTATCAGCGTTAACACTGGGAGGTGATGCTTTCAGAGAAAAGCATTATTGCACTGGTATGTTGGGAAATGCAACCAAAGCTATATTAAAATAAGTATAATGTTAAGAATTAAACTTGTTCTAAGGGTGCATGTGTGTAAAGGTTTACCTGTGTCCTTTGTGTAAGCCAAATGAGTTTATTCTGTTCAGTACCTATGTGCATATTGCAAAAATGGAAAGTTCAGCCTGCATGAAAGAATTAGTATAAGTGAAGAAGAATTTCCAAGACTAATTCAGTCTGATGATTAATCTCTGTCTGGAAAGTGCCTTGGTCACCAAGGCCTAAAGGTGCAGTAAGTAATTACATTGCTCTGATCAGTCATTTTATACTGTGTGACTTATACTGAGAGTCAATCATGATAAAATAAATTCCATGAGGAAAAGTTTCCATTAACAGGGGAATTACAGGAGGCTAATGTGAGACTGACCATCTGAGCTCAACATCAGGTTAACCAGTCAGGTTAACACACAAAAATCAAATAAGTTCAAACGTGTGCGTGGGCCGTAAAGACAATTACATTTCAGTAAAATGTATTGATTCTGCTCTGCTTGACACTATCAAACAAGGTAACTGAATAACTGAGCTTTATAAAGAATATCTCTTTGGATTTGAGACTTTAGTCTTTGCAACAGATCTTCTTTATGCACCAAGAGCTTGTAACACTTCAAAGAGAAAGGAAAAATTTAAATCGCATTATATGACCCCTTTAATT